AAAGTGTAAGGGTGATATATAACCTGCCAATCAGGTCACAGCCAGGGGGTGCCTTTCTGAATGTGGCCTTCTGAAAAGGAGGGCCCTAGGAACCTCCCCTTCTCTATTTTCACCTTGCTGGCTGACCCCAATTGCTGCCAGAGCCCTGCTCTGCTTCCACCATTCTCAGATCCACCAGCCTGTGATCTTCCCGCATCCTGCATCATTGCATGTCTGAAGAGCAGCTTATGGACTGGTATCAGACTTAGGGCCTTGAGTTGGATTGGGCAGGGATGTTTTCTTGATATATAAGGGGGTATCCCCCTCCAAAAAAGAAAAATGGAAAAAAGCTCTGCTGGGCAGAGCTTTCATAGTACTTATTTTTCCCACTAGGTCATCTAGCAACTGACGCTGAGTTAGTGCACCCAGTGCCATTGCCTGGGAAGGTTCTCTCTGGTTAACAGTGAATGTTTTCATGGAAGCAGTTTTGCCCAAACATCGTTTTTTGTGATGGTAGATTTAAGAGAACCGCAAGCAGCTATGAAATTTTGTTTCCAGCTCAGGAAAAATGCCACAATAACTGTTGTGATGTTGAACACAGCTTACAAGGGCAGTGTTATGGGAAAAACTCAACTGTAGAGTGGTTTTCTCATTTCAAAAGGTGAAATGTCCATTGATGACAAACTTCATTCTGGACTACCATCAACTTCCCGAATGTCAACTTGTAGTGTGCATTTGGAGTTCATTCCACCAGGTCAGACTCTTAACCTAAATTTCTATTTAGAAGTGATGATAGTATAACAGTACAAGGAAGAAAAAGAAAAAAGGCCTGATTTGTGGCAGACGGGAGACTGGTTTTGCCACATCTGCTCACACACCTGCTCATGCAGCCATCTCAGTGCACAAGTTTGTGGCAAAAAAAACCCCAGCAAGCCTCATCTGACCTCACTCCATGCGACTTGTTTCTGCAAATGAAGGCAGACATGAAAGGATAGCAATTTGATGTGAAAGAAGTGAAGAAAAAACAAGGGAGGTGCTTGTCAGCCCTCCAAACAGATGTTTGAAAAATGTTTCGAGGAATCTCAAATTTGACAAATGTATTAAGTATAGTGGAGAGTATTTTGAAGGTGATAGGTTGTTTTGTAAAAAAAATTAAATAGCCTTGAAAAAAAAATCTGGTTTTGGGTACCCCTCATAATTACTTTTTTGACATAAAGCTCTTTCTTACATGAGTGTCACTGCATTTGCTTCTCAAGTCAACTCGGCCTAACACAGTAGTGATGGGGAGAAGATACACAATTACTAAGCACCCATAAATTAGAGGTCTTCTTAACCTATATTTTATTTTTCATTTCCCAAGTTAAGTGTAAGCTAACTTTAGAATTGAGACCAAACAACAAAGTAGCCTACAGGCACAATAAAAAGAGCCAGAGCTAAAAAACAGGTCTACAGGATTCAAGTGTTTGTCTTTATGTTACAGTTCCACCCTCCCAACATCAGCTTATCAATGTGGAAAGCAAGCGAATTCTTCATTTTAAATTGAGAAAGCAAAACGCCAAAAAGAATGAGAGCGAAATTTTTAGAGTTGGAATAAAATTCCCACAGTTCAAAAGGGCCATAAGTTACAATTAGATGTATAAGGGAAACATTTAAAAAGACCCAACAAGCAAATTTGGATATCTCACTGTATTCCTACTTAAAATTTAAGCATAAGTGGTAAACAAAGTTACATGCCCTGGTATATAATTTTACAAAGGAATTACAACTTTCAAATATACTAAAAACCAGCTTTCACTTCTTTGAAATAAACACTGGCTGGAGGCAGCATAGCACCAACAAAACAATCAGGAGGAAAATTTAATCCAACATTATCTTATCCAATCAAGACTAACAAAAACATGCCATAAAGAAGTTTATGAAAATTTCCTAATTGTCTCAGAAACATATTGCAAGTGAATTAGGGCTAAAATGATTCTTTCAATTGGTCCAATGTAAAAACAACTGCCAGGTGACTTGAGTCTCAAAATTCTCTTCCAGTTATATCCTTGATTATAACCTTCAGCTTTAGTTTCAAATAGGCGTTAGCCTTAATTTCAAATAGTAACTAGACAAATGGAGCTCTATCTAATCCGAGAGAGTAAACCAGATTTTCTTTTAGATATAATCACAGTAAGCAACACAAAAAGTAGTATTCCATCATTTCATTGTTTTAAATTGTATTCAAATTCTATCATTTTACAATCATGAGGAAATTAGAACCTCAGTGTAATATGTAAGCAGATTTGTGTTTGTGCTATATTCATTGTTTCATCTTCAGCAGCTTGAACACCGCCTGGCATTCAGTAAATATTTGTCAAATGAAAGAAGATAAAGAGAATGTTAACAAACATCAACAAAAACAAAAGCTGCAAAATGCCCAAGGTTGGCATAGTACAAGCATTTTGATTTGGTGCAGATGGCTATGCACACAAAAAACCCAAACCAATTGCTGTATTCAATTCCAACTTACAGAGACCCATCTGTGTCACAGTTGAACTGTGTGCCAGTATTTTGAATGGGTGTTTTCAGTAGACTAACAGACCTTGGTTCTGAGGTGCCTTTGGTAGATTCGAACCTTCAACCTTTTGATTAGTAGCCAAGCACATTAAACTCTGTACCACTCAGACTCTAGGTAATGTATGTGAGTAGTGCTTTCCCAGAGGATAGACTAGAACACATGTGAAGTTTAACTTGCATACTGAAGATTTTTAGCCAAGTAATTTATATTTTTAAAAACTCATAATAGTACTCAAAATACTTATTACAGGGGGGAAAAAGATAATGAAGAACTTACTGCCCTGTATTATTAAATGTCCCCTAACATAGGAGTTAAAACAGAGCAACAAAAAAGAGGAAGGTCCTCAACCAGGTGGACAGTGTCTGCCACATGAGGCTCAAGCTCAGAAACAATTGTGAGATGAGGCTGGCTCAGGAAGGCGCCCTGTTTCAGTGCTGTGCACGGTTTTGGAACTGACTCAAGGGCATCTAACAACAGTGGAATGAATAAATTATCACACAATGGAGCCCTAGGCAATCAATCATGAATGTGAGATGTTGTAGAGGTATAACAGATAAAATTATGGGCATTAAAGGAAAACAAATGGGGTATTTATCCATGAAAATACATAGTACAATTCCACTTCTATGTAAAATTAAACATCTGGAAAAAGTCTATAAACTAAAAATGTTTCCCCTCCAAAATGATTTTTATTCTCTTTTCATTCATCTTTACTTTCTAATGTTTTTTGAATAAGCATTTATTATTTGTAAAATAAAATGTATTTTAAAATTCAGAAAAATTCATTTTGAAAAATAGTTATACTACACAGGCTGTGCAGTGACTAAGTATTAATTTTAAAAATACCTTCTGAAATAAATAACATTATTCACTTCCAGTTCTTTGGCTGTATTTCTGATATTATATCTTGTTATTTCTGAACATATTTTTATTAATCTGGTTAAAAGAAACTAAAAGAAATTGCAAACCAGCAAAAGTAGACTGGCACACTACAGTTTTTGATGAGATCTTAAGTCTACTTGAACATCTAGAAATAGTCCTTTGAATTTAAACTGGTATACTTCTAACATGAAGAGTTAAATCACTTTCAAAAAGGAACTCCTTTTTAAATGAAAGATGAATATAAATCACATACTTGCTAACATACAAATGCAAACTTATTCTTTTAATTTAAATTTGAGCACATATTACATATTACACATCTTTAAACAAGTATCTCTTAGAAACATGACCTAACAAGTTCATACTGATTTTGCATAAAAGTTTTACATCAAGTAAAGGCTAGAGGGTAAGTAAAACTTATTTAATGTTATGTCACACAATTGTAAAATATAAGCAATTGTTATGTAATTATATTTCAGGATTTGAGGTACAGAACTCACAATATACACTAAAATATGCAACTGATAAATTCCCAGTAGCCTATGCTAAAAAAAAAGAAAAAAACTTTATCAGAAAGATGCCACATTTTCATTGTAACTGTACCATTTATTTTCCACAGCCAAACATTTTGTTCCAGTTTTCATAGAGTTCTAAATCTCTTGGAGACACACTGGGTCGAACAGTTCTAAAGGCATTTTCAAAATCAATGTAAGCTATGGGTCGGACTTGATCTGGTGTTATTGTGGCAATGTCAGCAGTTTGTAAACTGCGAATAGGACCCAGAGAAGCTTCTCTGCAAAGCTGTGTCATATCTGCCCCAGAAAATCCATCAGATTGCTGCACGACCAGTTCAATCTCCTCTTCCTTAAGACAACATTGCTCCTTGGACATCAGATTGACTATTATCTGTTTTCTGGCTGAAGCTTCTGGGAGAGGAATATAAAGTCTTTTCACCAATCTTCTCCGGGCAGCCTCATCAATTTCTTGTGGCCGATTGGTTGCTCCTACCACGAGAATCCGATCTTCAGAGGATGTGGTAGCTCCATCTAATTGAACTAAAAATTCGGTTTTTATCCTTCGAGAAGATTCATGCTCACTATCTCCCCTTTGAGATAACAGGGAATCAATTTCATCAATAAATATCACGGCTGGTTGCTGACACCTTGCAACAGCAAACAATGCACGGACCATTTTTTCTCCCTCACCTACCCATTTAGAAGTCAAAGATGAAGCAGAAATGCTGAAGAATGTAGCCCCAGACTGACTCGCAATGCACTTGCCAATTAGAGTTTTACCAGTCCCAGGAGGCCCAAAGAGCAGAATTCCTTTAGGAGGCCCCCGTAAACCAGTAAAGATGTCTGGTCTCAGCATGGGCCACACAACTATCTCCTTTATTGTGGTTTTGGCAAATTCTACTCCTGCTATGTCCTCCCAGTTTATTGGAGGTCCATGATCCATAATCTCATTCATAATAAGTTCAATCATCTTTGGTTCCAGGTTCTTCAAACGCTCATCCACCGGATAAGCTGGTTCTGTAGGTCCTGCCCCATAAGATTTGTACTGCATTCCACCATTCTGATCTCCCCCATCCGGCTTGGGTACAGGAGGAACAAATTTTCCAAATATTCCTCGAGATCTACCAGCTCCCAGAGACTTTTTTGCACTGCCATATGAAGATCCTGATGCCCGCTGAGGTTGGTGCTTTTTTTGCTGATCAACCCATAATTGTTCTTTAGCAGTTTTAAAAGTAGGCAGGCTGTTTTCCTCTCTCTGGCAATTATCTTCGATTTTACTAAAAGACTTATTCAGAATTGGATTGGAAAGTGTATCAATGCAACTGGTACCAACACTATAAAAAGCCTTCTTTTCCTGGGAATTTTGACAGCCAGGAGGCAAACAAGACTGGTTGGATGAGGACATATTTAGTCCCATGTTGGCTTTTGGAGAGTCGTGACTTTCCTTTTTAACATTTCCAAATAATTGTGTGGCATGGAATTTTGCGGTGGCTGACTCACCTAAAGGCACTGAGAACGCAGGACAAGTTTTACTAGTGTTAGTCACCATCGGTGCCTGTGTATTCTGAGGACACTCTAAAGAACTTACATTTTCTGGGCTGGCTTGGGCCCTATCTGTACTGTGACTTGTGGCAGTTGAAAGTTTATTCTCTCCAAAACCATACACACTAAATTTTGGAGAATCAAAGGCACTGGCCTCCTTAGAGATTACTACCGATGAGTCAGCAGGTGCCAATAGAGAGTCTTTGAATGTTTTGCCAGCTTGCATCATCTTTTGTACATTACTCAGTTTGAAAACATTACTTATTGTCAATCCAGACTGCCACTTGTCACTGTCAGCTTGCTGAGATGTTGTCAAAGTGAAAATGTTTTCTGCATAATTATTCACGCCAGTTTCAACGTTGTCAGAATCAATAATTGTAGAATATTTCTCGGCATATTTTTTAAACAGTTTGGTAGCACAGACTTGGGAGATCTCTGAGTTTGCCCATGCATACTGAATGCGCAGTATCTGGGCACGGTATGCATCTGCCTTCTGTCCTGAAGAACATATGTCAGATGTGATTCCAAAATAATTCTTCTGCCATTCACTCAAGTGCACAGATCTAGAGTTGGAGGTCTGCATTTTGGAAGTCCTACCAAGCAAATAAAATGAAAAGAAAAAATAAATCGGTATCATTAAAAAAAAGGAAAAAAAAGATAACAGGACAGTCTCTGAGTTACAAATGTCTAACTTATGGACTTCTCATCGATCCCCATAAAGCTTCTTAAACACTCAAAGTATAAATAAGGGCTCACAGTAACAAATAGGCCACACTTTGGGAACTCTCAAAATCTGCTGTTGAGGCTATAAAATCGTGTGACCATTGTAGAAAGCAGTACAATGCTTCCTCAAGAGGTTGGGGACAAAAATATCATATGGCCCAGCAAACCCCTCCACTTGGTATGTAGCATCGAGGATTAAGAACCGTAACAGGGTAAATATGTGCACATCCATGTTCATGTAGCACTACTCATCATAGCAAATAATGGAAACAACCTAAAAGCACATCAGTGGAGGATGGATAAACTTTTGTACATACACACAACAGAATACGACTCCACATTAAAGAAAACGAGTCTTCTAAACAACTCATAACATGGATAAACCTGGAGGGCATTATGCTGAGTAAAATTAGGCAATCACAAAAGGATAAATATTAAGAGACCACTACTATAAAAAGTCAAGAAATGGTTTTCATACTAAAAGAAACATTACGAGGGGTATGCAAAAAAAAACCAGAATTGCGCTCGGCTAGTCAGCGGAGCTTTCATAAGTACACATTTTTCTCACTAGGTGAGCATCCAGCAATTCACTCTGAGTTAGTGTACCCAGGGGTGTCACCTGGGAAGGTTCTCCCTGGCCACAGTACATTTTTTCATACAAGCAGTTTTCCTTGAACCTCGTTTTTTTTTGTTGGCGGTTTTAGGGGACCGTTTTTTGGCGTTGAATTTTTTTTTCTTTTTGGGGAAATGGGTTGCGGAACTTTTTTTGTTTTTGACCCCGGTTTCCAGGGCCGGCCTTTTGGGAAAAACCTCCAGTGTGTGAGTGGTTTTCTCATTTCAAAAATGGTGAAATGTCCATTGACAACAAACCTCATTATGGATGTCTGCCAACTTCCAGAATGGATGATAATGTTGACTTGTAGTACATTTGGAGTTCATTCCACCAGGTCAGACTGTTAATCAAGTTTCTATTTAGAGGTTCTGAAAAGATACCATAATAATGTGTGACAAAAAAGGCCAGATTTGTGGCAGATGGGAAACTGGTTTTGCTACCACAAAAATGCACCTGCTCAAGCAGCCATCTCAGTGCGCCAGCTTTTGGCAAAAAACAGCATGCCTCTCTTGCCCCACGCACCTTACTCACCTAATCTCGCTCCATGCGGCTTCTTTTTGTTTCTGCGAATGCAGAGGAACATTAAAAGACAGCAATGTGACGACATAGAAGAGGTAAAGAAAAAAAAACAAACAAGGGAGCTGCTGTCAGGCATCCAAACACATGAGTTTGAAAATGTTTCCAAGAATGGAATCACAGATTTGACATAGTACTTCGAAGGTGATAGTTGTTTTGTAAAAAAAATTTTAATTCATAGCTTTGGGAAAAAATTTCGGGTTTTGGTGGGGTACCCCCTTGTATTTAGTGGTTACCAGGGATGGAAGAAGGTTCCGAGGAAGGGAAAGTCATGGGCTAGAGAGGACAGACAAGTGTTAACTTGGGTAAATGCAGGTTAAGAAGGAGGTTAGCAAAAAATGATGAAGTCAGGGTAAGATACTGTGTGGTGGTGGGTAGGGAGTTGCAAAAGTTAAAGCAACAGAGGCAATCACTGTTATATAGACAATCCGTCAATAGTGGTTATTTATGAGCTACTTAGACAGACATGCTAGCGAAACAGGTATGAGTGGAAGAGTAGTATACCACCAATGGAAGTTTGACAGAGGATCTTTCTATGCATGTGTTTACCTTTGCTGCAAACATATCCAAGTAAATGGTGGAGAATACAGGAAGCAAGTTATGAAAACTTAAGACATAACCAAACACCTTGAGGAAATAAGTTGTTGAGCCTCGGAGATCAGGACCATAGTCTAAGGGGACACCAAGGTCAAATGGCATAGCATAATTCACAAAGACAATAGTGATTTGGGGTCTTAAAAGCTGGTGATCAACCACTTAAAGTACAACTACTGGTGTCTCCCCATCTAGAGGAAAGACAAGTGATAAATATCTAAATTCATGTTCAATGGACTAATGGATCACAAATATGTCTCCACAATCCTGGCACCAGAGGTACTATCTGGTTCCCAGTTACTACTATCAATTGCTCTGCAAAGGATCACATTAGAAAGTCTTGAAGGAGTAGAAGGAAAACGTGGTACAGAACTCAGAATCCTAAAACAGAGCAGGTTTACTGGTCTGATAAAGACTGCTAGAATCCCTTAGACGAAGTGGCCCTTAGTCATCCCTTGGTCTAGAACTTAAATCACCAAGACCTTTGCCATCACCTCCACAGATTTATAGTAATCAACCATTTAAAATCAAAAGGTCAGCATTTACTGAAGGACAAACTGCAGAGGGTTGGGAAAAGGGGGCTGGAGATGGGAAACACAAGAAATGGGATAAGTGACCACACACTGACAGTACATTGAGGGGATTGCCTTAAATTAGTTGAACCAAAACGCTTATGAATTATTAAATGTAAAACTGATATGCTCTGTAATATCTCAAGTTTTTTTCCTTTTAAGCATAACATATATCTTAAACAAAACAAAAGTCACCTCTTGCCCTTTGTATTCTCCCTGACCCCAAACAACCACTAATATGGTTGTGGCACTACAGCTATTTTGTGTTTTCTAAAATCTTATATACAGTATGTATTCTTTGGTGCTTGGCTTACTTCATTCAGCATATGGGGATAAATGGTTTTAAGCTGTGCCCTGGTGACACTGTGGGTTAAGCATTAGGCTGCTAACTGCAAGGTCCATAGTTCATATCCACCAACCCACTTGCTGCTACACTAGAGAGACGAGACTGTCGATTCCCATAAAGATTCTGTCTTGGAACCTCTACACAGTATCACTAAGAGTCAGACTCGACTTAATGATGGTGGATTTGGCTTGATAAAAGAAAGAGGTTGTAAAAATAATAATAGGCTCCAGCCCTCAAATGAACCAGATCACTGGTTCTCACACCCTGGACCAACTTCCAAACCAGAGCACAACTACCCACCCACTCAATCTGCCTAGCTGAAGCTTTCCTAAACTTGGATCAAGTAGTTTTCTTGATCTGACTCATAGATGCCCAAATTTATTTGGCCTATCGCCCGCTTTTCAGGAAAGAAAGGAAAAAGAAAAAAAAAAAAGCAACACCTAAGCACTTCCCTGACAATTACAAACTTGGGTTATGAATCCCTAATCCAAGATAAAATCCAAGCTATCCACTCTGCAGGTCCCCCAGGAGGTGTGAGGGTGAAAGAGGGAATGGCTTTAGAAAGGTGGGGGAGACAGTTTGCACCGTAGCTTCCAGAGCTGAGCGGCCTCGTGCTTTCCCCGCGTCCTGAGGTCCCTTCCACCCGCCCGCTACCTCAGAGGCGCGGATCGCGCGGGCCGCCTTCCCCCCGCCCCGCCCACGGCCCACGCCCCGCCCGCGAGCCCGGCCCCTGCACGACGCGGGCCCCGACGCCGCACACTCCTGCAGGGGGCGTCCTCCCACAGGCCCCACGCTCCCGAGGCGGCCGCGGCTTCCCCACAAACACCAGGTCAGCCCCCTCTGCCCCTTCCGCATTCGACCCAGCACCCCCGAAGAGCCGTGGTATCCGCTCCCCCAAACCGCCCAGACGCTGCCGCACGTCGCGCCCACTACTAACCCGAGTCGCTGAATCCAGGTAGCCAGCGGCCAACAAAAGTCGCGGGTCCCTAGCTCGCGCTTGCGCGCGGTGCGCGCGCTGCTTACGTGCTCGGCCCGCGCCGCTTGCGTAAGTGCTGCGCGGCGGGCCGGGGGGGCGCGCGCTGGGGGTGGGGGCGGCGGTGGAAGCGGAGGTTGGGCGGGGCGAGCGTCTAGGGAAGGTAAGGGCGCTCGCAAGTCCGCCGGGCGAGAGATGGCGGAGTGCTTCTTCCCCAGCCCGTTTTTATAAAGGGTTGTAATAGTTGCTAAAAAAGAGAGCTAGATTAAAGAGAAATTCACCGCCATCGAGTCGATGCTGCCCCACAGCGACCCCTTGTGGGTTTCCGAGACTGGAACTGTTCGCCGAGTAGAAAGCCCAGTCTTTCTCCCACCGAGCTGCTGATGGAGTTGTACCGTCGACCTTGAGGATCGCAGTCCAGCCCATCACCACTACGCCAGATTTTAAAAAGGAAAGATAATTCATATCTAATAACAAATTGTCTTGTTTTCATTGTGCGAATGCTTTTTTGTGTTTTGTTTTTTTAAATCTTTAAAAAATGTACAAGAGTGGCGTTACAGTTGGGCAATTATTTGCAAGGTCATCAGTCTGAAATCACCAGCTCTACTCCCTTAAAAAGCTTAAGTCTCCGAAACCCACAGGGATAGGTCCTGTGGGCTCGCCTCGCGTGGAAATCGACTCCATGGCAGTAAATATTCTAGGAGCAAAAAGGAGCAGTGGTGATGGCCGTGGGCAGCAAGTGGTACAACTGAACAAAACGCCTGGTTCTAGGCCATCCTCACCACAGTCCCTGTGTTTGAGCTCATTGCTGCAGCCACTGTGTAATCCAGCTTGTTGAAGCTCTTCCCCTTTTCTGCTGCCTGTCTACTTTAACAAGCATGATTTCCTTTTCCAAGAATAGCCTCTCCTGATAACATGTCCAAAATACCTGAGATGAACTCTCACCATCCTTGCTTCTAAATAGCATTCTGGCTGTACTTCTTCCAAAAGAGATTTGTTTGTTCTTTCAACATTCTTCACCAGTAACATAATTTAAATCCATCATTCTTCAGTCTTCCTTATTCAATGTCCAACTTTCATATGCATATGAGGTAATTGAAAATACCATGACTTGGGTCAGGTGCACCTTAGTCTTCAAAGTACCATCCTTGCTTTTCAACACTTTCAAGAGGTGTGCACAACAAATTTACCCAATGCAGCAGGTCTGTTGATCTCTTGACTGCTGCTTCCATGAGCAAAATGAAGTCCTTCACAACTTCAACTTTGTGAAGTCCTTCCCAACTTTTCTCCATTATTGTGATGTTTCCTACTGGTCCAGTGTGAGAATTTTGATTTACTTTATATTGAGTTATAATTCATACTGAAGGCTTTACCTTGAGTTGTAATCCATACAACAAAGGCTTCAAGCCTTCCCTTTGACAAGCAAAGTAATGTTAATAACTTCCCTTCAATCCTGATGCTGCATGCCTCCTCAGATAATCCAGCTTCTTTGACTGTTTGCCCAGCAGACAGTTTGAGTATGCGAGGAGAGGATACAACCCTAATGCACACCTTTCTTTTTTTTTTTTTTTTT